CCCTTCACTCTTGGAAAATACCTTAGAACTATCTTTTTGCATTGCTTGATAAAAGTTTACTCTTTCATTGGGGGAAAAATTGAATTGTCTCATTTCTATCCTTTTGCATTTATCGAGATATACTAATTTCTATCCCTCCAATAACTCGCTGAAACCCGTCTTTAAGAATCTAAAGTGAACCATTACTAAAAGCTTTTATGGCACTCTTATACGAATTTAAATGCTGTCTATAAAGCTTTTTGTTTTATATGGTTCTTTTTTTTCTGATGATCTGTATTTTCTCAATGATTTTAATGTATTAAAATACTGGATGTCATTTGCTGAAAAATACTTCTTGTTTCCATCTCCACTTATCTCCATCTCCATCTGATTAAGAATTTAAATGTCTTTCATTTTCAATCCACATATGTATGCCACATTTCATTTTAGTTTGTTAATATCACTTCACCATAATAATTTAGCAAGAGACTTCTGTAGAATTCCACAGAGACCAAAATCTTTTTTGAAGCACATGAACACGCAAACCAATATGGGCTTTTCTTAGATTTATAATGACTGAGAACTGGGCATTGTATTTCAGCTTTCTTTCCAATGCAAATGGATAAACTAGCATCATAATCTTGGCCTTTGAATCTCTGATAATTGTGATATCAGTCAATTCTATACAGCTACTGGACATTTTGTTTTTTTAGAGGTGGCTAAAATGAAGAAGATGGAATTTAACAAGGAGAAATTTAAAGGACTGTATCTGGTTAAGAAAAATATGAGGCAGAAGTGTAGGATGGGGGACATATGAATTGGGAGTAATACATGTGAAAGGAACCTGGATGCCCTTGTCAGCCATAAAATAATCAGGAGCCAGCAGGGTGGTGTAGCTGCTACAAAGCAAAGGCTCTCCTAGCAGAAGCATAGAAGCCAGATCTTTGGTATTAACTATTCTACTCAACTCTGCTCCTGATCAGATCTGTGCACCAGAGTTCAGAACAAACAGTGACAAATTGAAGCAACTTCAGGAGAGGGCTATCAAAATGGTAAAGGATCCACAAACAACTCCCTGAGGATAATCATTCAAGAATCTGGGTATGTTTAGGCTAGAGAAGACTGAGATGAAATATCATAGCAGTCTTCAAAAAAACCTGAAGGGTCATCATACAGAAGAAGGAATGAGCTTATTGTCTGTTATGCAGAGAGCAGTTTCAGAACCAATGGATTAAACTCTATTAGTAGATTTGTCTAGAGCTGAGGAGTGACATCTGCCTATATGAACTGCCAGCCAGCTGTAAAGGTAGTGGCAAGTTTTCCTTTCCTAGGAGTCATCAGGCAAAGAAAGATCATCCGTCAGAAATCTAGTTGGTTCTGCTCTGAGATTATTTGAATAGATGACCTTTAATATCCCTTCCAATTGTAAGATTCTATAACTCTAACTAGATAAAGCTTTCTGTCGTGAGGGGAATTTTTTTTACGAAGTATGGAGAAAAAATGCTTTTATCTCTCTTTTCTGGGTTTCAAATGAACATTTTGAGACCAACAAACACTGGAGCATGCATACCATGCTACTTATTTTCTCTTGTTAATAGCTTGACTCCCTATTCTTTGTGGCAGCCCTTGAGATATTGAAACACTGCTAACACATTCCCCTTGTCCTTCTCTTCATTAGACTAGACATACCCAATTCCAGCATTTTAACCTCCAGTCGTCTTTATTGCTCTTCTCTGTACTGGATGCAGTATTCCAAGTGTGGCCTTACCAAGGCATTGTAAAGTGGTATTAACACTTCACGTGATCTTGATTCTATTCCTCTAGCACTATTTTGGCTTTTTGGGCAGCTGCAGCACCCTGCTGGTTCATATTTAAATGACTGTCCACTAGGACTCCAAGATCCCTCTCACAGTTGCTATTATTGAGCATGGATTTATTAGGATTCATTCCCAAAATGAATCCCTTGTATTCTCCTGCTTTTTTCATCAGTGGTATTCTCTAGTCACCTCAACTTCAGTTAGCCTCTTTTTTGATCTTGCCTTGGTTCCTGCTTCTGGTTTCCCATGTAACAGCAACATGCGTAACATTACAGTATTGAACGTTCATTTCATTTCTGGACACATCCACAGTCATAAATGCCACTGCTCTCATACTGGCTCTTTGCTCTTTACAATAGCTTAGGCGGTCCTCTTTCAGTATCATGTCAACATTGTGAATACCCTGTGTGGCTTTTGGGGCAGAATACTGGAGTGGGGTGGCATTTTCTTCACCGTTTCCATCTTTATCATCTCCTCCTCCTCCTTCTCCAAAATTACAAGAAAATGCCATAATGCTGAATATTCAAGTGACAAAGAAGCAGATTAGCTTTATTGTTTGGAGGATTAGTGGTTTTTTTTTTTCTTCCATTGCTGTCAAAATAGCACAATCCTCTTCTGAGAACAAGATGCTTTGATTTACAATGTTTTGAGGAACATTGAGAATCCATAAAGTAGGCAAGGTTTAATTGGCATGTGTGAGTTTGGGGAAGTTGTTGCTTTGTATATGCTACTATTTATTATCATACTTGCTTTGATGATGATAAATCAGAGTTGGTCATTGGAAGATGTTTGAATGTGTATGCATTTGTGTATGTGAGTGTGTGTTGGGAGACAGTTGCAAAAGACATTTGGGCTACTCAGTACAAGTCTGAAAATAAAAAGAAAGAACATAACTCCTGGAAACTGAAAAGAGACATGGCTGAAGGTTATCTTAGTTCAGGATATGAGAAAATAGTAGAGGCCATAAGTAATGTGATATATTTAGAGGGCTTACATCTATAGTAGCTATTGTCTTACCTATGTGAAGTATTGAATAATTTAGCAGAGATTGCAGAATCATAATATTGGAAGGGTGTGAATTCTGTACTTGGACCGGATTGTAATTGATTTCAAGGTTAGGATTTTTGTCTGTTTGCATTTTGCATAAAAAGAATGATGTACTTACTTAATTAAGACATCTTTGAGCATGAACATCTGTCTTCTACTGCACATTTGTCAAGCAAAGCTGTGTTTTTGCTGCATATTTCTGTGTGACCTGGAGTGCTGCACAGTATATATCAAAGAGCGAGGACTTAAATCATTGGTGGAAAGCAATGATGGAGAGGATTACTGGAGAAAGGGGGAAAAGTGACTGCAGAACTCAGCAAGGACAGGCATAATCAAAAAGAAAGATCTCCAGAGCAGACTCTGTGGTGAAAGGACTGAGCCTAAACTGGAGAAGACAGATCAGTAACACATGGCCAAAGTGAAGTCTTCCCCCCAGGTTCAGAAAAAGGAAAAAATTCCCTTCCGTTTCTGTAAGGTAAGAGGAGAAGATGAAAGTACTGCTAATCTGCCTAAAAGAAGAGTTAATGTAACAAAGCAGTGATTGAGGATAACATTCATGTACTGTAAGATAAGAAAGATTTAAGCCACTAAAAAGCTACAAAATACTTGGTAAACAAATGTGTAACTTGTTGAACTAAGATTGCGTTTTAGAAATATAAGAGCCAAAATTCACTTCATTTTTACTTTAACAATACAAATTACTAGTTTGGAGAGGAACAATGTATGTACACCAAGATAAGTTGCTATCCTAACCTTCCAAAAAAAAAAAAAAAAAGTCAGAATCTAACTTTTTCTAACTGCCCCTTATTAATTTGTAACTTCCATTATTTTGTGTCTTGCCCTCTGAAACAAGAAAGAGCAGTTCCTAGTAAGTATTGGAGAAGTATTAACATATAATCAATCTAGCTGATTCAATCACTCTTCCTTAGACTTTATTTTAGGTTTCTTGATTATTTTCACTGACTTTATCTCAATCTGTTTCTTCGAAAAATTATTTTCCAAGATTTAGAAACCATACACTTGTTAATGCTCTCTAAACTTGCATTTGTTTTCTATGCAGTCATACCACACTGATCTCTCATGTTTTGTTGTTTTTGGGTCTTTTGTTTTTTGGCAATGATTGTTACTTATCCAAGCATTCTCCACCCTATATACCTGCTCATTTGATTTTTGGTTCATAAATAATAATTTTGCACTTTTTCTATTATATTTCATTCTGTTCCTCTGTTTCTTTGATGATTGTTTTGAAATTTAATTCTTGTCTTTTCAGCTATTATCCCAACCATTTTTGTGTCTTTTGTGACTCCCAACCATTTGAGCAGTCCTTTCATCCTTTTATTCAAATCATTAATGAAAATATTGAAGAACAGAAAACTGAAGAATTATTCTTAGGGCACTTCATTTGATACCTCTGCCCAATCTAATGAGTAACCAGTGATGAGTATCCTTTGAGTCATGTCATCCAGCCACATGTAATTAACTTGCTAATCAGCGTGTCATGGGGATACAAAAGTGTGCCCATAATATAATAAGAGAGTCACTCCATCAAAAATTGAGGTAGCTTTGGGGTGGCAAGATTTCTTCTTGTCAAGTCTACTCTGACTTCTGATATTCGCTACATTTATCTTTTAGCATTTTGTTGTCCTCAGTGAAGAGCTAATAGACCAATGTTTTTCTTTTTCTTTTCTTTTATTATCTTTTAAAAAGAACCCTTCTTAAAATTATTCTTCACTCACCTGGCCTTAATCTGAACTTTTACTTTCTAAACAGCACTTCTAAAGCTATGGACTATCTGCCTATAATTCTCCTTTATAGCCTAACACTCTTTTTTCTTTGTATCATCACTGGATGACATGTTCTCCATTTCTCCCCCCCCCCCTTACTGGAATAGTTTGCAATTGTGTTTTTAGCATCTCTTTCTTTAGGAACTCTCATCATGAACTTCTTTTCCCATCAGTTTCTTCTGCTACAGAATCCCTCTTATCTTTATTAAAATCTAGTTGAAACCCATTCAGTTATGCTCAGTGTTACCTTCTCTTAATATCTTTCCCTAATCCCATAAATAGATACATAAATATTTAAATAAGTATAAATAAAATATTTATTCATAGTTAAATCCAATTAATGGCCATGTCAGATAAATCATCCACTAAAACATTTCGATTTTAACATACTTTATTTAAAAAGTACAGAGTTTTAAATTGTTTTCCATGGGGTAAAGCGAAAAGTAATGACCATTTGTATCTATCTACTGAAGAGGCTCTATTCTTGATGAATGGTGATTATTGTATGGCAAATCCATATTTGCATGATGTGCAAAAAAAGAAAAAGAAAAAAGAAAAGATAAATGTCTTTTATTTACATAATTTAGAGTTTATATCATCCCATTGTTTAAAATCATGAAATGCTGATGTTTTGACTTATTTCATGTCTTCTAGTTGCACCATTTCTCAGTTCACAGTTTATCCATAGATTTAACAGGGCATCATGGATCAGCCAGTGTCACCTTGAGATAATGACCCACAGCAGAGATAGCACAAGAAGAGTAGGCTTAGCATTCAGGCCTGAAACACCACCACATTCTCTAGCATTCTCCTAGAGATAAAATAAATACAGATGAAGGGGAGGGGACTGCATTTCAATAAATGAAACAATATTTGCCAATAGAGAGAGTCAGAGACAATATTACAGATGCAGATACAAAAGGCAAATACAGGGATAATTTAGAAATCATCATGATAACAGTTGCTCAGATATGATATAGTATCATCAAGACTTGTAAAATCTGTGCTTCTTCAAGACAAGTGAAGGCCACCCACCTTGAATTACAGCACTGTGGGATAGACTGAATTCAGTTTCATGGATTGCCTATAGCCCAAAGTACCACTGAATCCAATGATATTCTTCTGATGCTTAACCATATCATCTGGAAGTTTCTAAGGTTGGAATTTCCCAGTTTTTCTTTTTTTAAAAAAAAGACAGCTGCAGGGGCTGGTTAGAAGCTGGGAGTGGGAAACCATTTCTCCAGTGTGCTTCATTTCCTACTCAAACCTCTGAAGGGAAAATCTTATTCCTTAAGGATTTGCCATATCAGCACCTCTTTTGTATGTCTGTAAAATGGAACTATATCAATCTGTCTGGATGGAAGAACTGTAGCAGAAGCACTGACCTCATCTTTTGGCTAGAGGTGAGGACCCAATAGTCTTTGGTCATGCTTTCTATTCCTTTGGGACCCTGCTGCCCAAGCAATAATTGTCCAATCATAGCTTAAAGAGAATTGTCTTATTGTTGATGCTTTCCATCCAGTTGTCCTTTTTCCTGATCTCCTACCCACATACTTTCCAAGGAACGAGGAGAGCAAGGGCAGTCAATCTAAACCTAGCTATGACTTTTGGAAAGTTTATAATAGTACATTGTTTATCATGTGTCCAGTCTTGTTGAATTACATTACTATCGTTACACTTGAGTTGTTTATTCTTATCTGACCTGTATTTCTGATTCACTCTGAAATATTCAAGTGACGATGAAAGTGAGGAAGAGACGTGGCACCAAACACATGTGGAATAATAATAGGTAAACATGGTAGAATGTATTGTAGTAGTAGATTTACTTTTTGGATAACAGAGTTATGTAGGTGGCAAACAAAGATCATGGGCACAGAAATATCAAGCCATACAAGCAGAGATGTAAAGAGAGCAAGGATTTGAGAAAGACACTGTATGTTCATATCAAAGGCAAAAGAAATAATTTTGGCCATCTAGTACTGAATACATAGTATTCAGACCAAGATGAGATAACGGAAAAATAGAGAAAATAAGGTACAAAGAAACAATGAAGTTAGAATGCAAATGGAGTGCAATTAGAGAAGTGCGACCAGTGAGACAAAGCAATTTGTTTCATTGTTAGGATAAAGCACTTACCTCAGGATGGAATCCATGACAAGATTCTGGACGTCTCCTAATCTTGTGAGATTTTAAGCGTTCACATTTTAGGGATTCGTTATGTTCACAGAAGTTAAAGATATAGCTTAAATCCTGGATTTGTCACATTCAAAGTGATAAAAATAAGCCATCTAGCCCAAGATCACTTGGATCATCTGACAATAGTTGTATTGCCCCACCAATCCACCCCTGTTCTCAACCTCTGGCACACTAGCCTAATCATCTGGACATTAATAAAGCAAGCATTCTTGAATTATGAGAGCAAGTTATTTCCTAAAAAAATATTCTTGGTGTGCTGCTATTGAGAAAGATTATCTAATTTTCCATCTCCATGTTCTAAGATCTTCACCTCTCCTGAAGATATTCTCTTTGTTTACCTAATTAACTTGCATCCAAAATTTAGCGCTCCACATCATGTACTGTATTTTCATTTTATTTGCAATAATTTAACAAACAATAGTTTGGGTTAAAGGCATCACTTGATTTAACTTTTAATTAATTCCAAATTATTTTACTAAGTGCCAGTTAACTATTTGCTAAATGTTTGCATCCAAACATACGACTTTAACATCATTGTAGAAGAAAAGGATATACCTTATTTCTATTGGTTCCATGGTAATTGGTGAAACAGATTCACAGTCACATTCATTACTTACTACTACCATGAAGAGATTGCTATTTTGAATTTGTTGGATAACAAAGGACCTGTCAGCAAAGAATAAATAATTAATTTAAGAATCAAACATGGATCAAGATGTCATGCTCCTATACAATGTGGAAGGAGAAGTAAAGATAGGAAGGTTCTTCACCATTACTGTATGTTGATTTCCATCATCCTATAATTATTTGCAGAATAATACAGTAAAATTCTTCATGGCAACTTGATACAGCACATGGACTGATTTTACCCAACTTAGGCAATTACTTAACTGAGTATCTCTTTTTTTCCCTCTCTTTACTAATTAAATATAAAGTAAATTTTATTCTGCAAAATTTCAAATCCAACATATTGCAATTTGAGCACAATCCAGCCAAGATTGGCTGCTACTAGCCTGAGGCAGATATGCAGACATACAAGCACGGGTTTCATTTCAATGTTATATGAATTAACTTTGCTTTGTAGAGTAGGATTTGTTCCTCCTCTTCTCCTATAGGTGCTTTCAAAAAGCTAAGTCTTAACATCATCACAGGAAATCAATTTTAAGAAATCCCAGGAAGAGAAAAACATTCAATAGATAGAAAATCTTATTAGAAAATCCTGGCTGCAGTAGAAAAATGATCCACTTGAATATTTTGAATGTTGTGGTGGAGAATCTCTTGTATCCATCTGCATCACTGTAGAAAAAAGGGGAGTCTGTCCACGTGGGTTTTTTTTTTAATCCTCTTGAAACCAACAAGTGAGCAATTCTAAACAAAAAGAAATAGTCCTTGGAAAACAGTAATGATTTATATCAGTGGTTTTCAACCCTGGGGCCGTGGCCTATTTGCAATCAGGTTGTGTGAGTGGTGGGCGGGTACACACATGCGCTCATCTCGACTCACGCAAGCAGCAGGCCAGTGCACATGCATGCAACTTGACTAGTGGAAGTTGCAGGCTGGAGTGCATGCACATGCAATTCAACTAGTTGAGCTGCATGTGCATGCATGCCAACTTGCTGCTCACATAAGTCAAGCTGCGTATGAGCGCAAGCGCGTCAGCCCACTGAAGCAGATGGCTGCATTATTAGTCTCTGTGTTGACCCATAAGGATGTTTAATCATAAACTTCTTTCTAAAACAATCATTTTCATATTTCTGGAATATGTTTTTGGCACAATAGGTGGCCCTTATTATTCAAGCTCTAAATCCATGTTTTCCACATTTGCAATGGGTAAATACAAATTAAACATCATTACCGAAAGGGTTCCATGAATCCACAAGTTTGGGTGAGGGGTTACATTTGGAGGAACACATCTGGAGTACTTTTTGTATGCTTTATGAATGGGCAAGATAGCAGATGAGCTTCTTGCATAAATGACTTATGATCTGTGGTTTCATTACATATAATACACAGGCTGAAACCGATTCCCCCCCCTCCAACACACACACATTGATGAGTTGCTTATTTCATTAGTTGAGGCATTTTATCTGATATCTAACGCTCCTCTGAGGTCATTCTTTTCTGGTTCGAAAAGCATTGGCCTTGTGGAAAATAACATGTTTCAGAAGTGTAGTTCAATATTCTTTCATGCTACTGTCCTGTTAGTTCTCTGCCCATGTAGTAGAGGACTCTATTTTTGTATTAATCTTTAAATCGGTTCCATGTAACATGTCATGACATATAACACCACTGAATCCAGAACAGACGATCTCAGTGGTCTGGCAGGGAATCATGAAGTTAAATGAGGACTTGACAATGTGTAGATGTGGACAAAGGCATATTTCCATTCAGACGTCTTTACTTAAAATACATATTGTCTTACTAAGAAAATGTTCTGCTTTTTCCAAAAATCACAGAAAACTGAAGGAGGGGGAAGATATGTAAGGGAGGCAGAAGCCTTTGAACTGGCTCTGGGAAAGAAACAACAGGGGAAACTGCAATTAAAAGAGCACTAAGAGGAAGATTAAATGCTCTTGGGGTTTTTAAACTTACTGAACCCCCATTAAAATTACACTTACTGGGATCTGTAATACGATGATGATAAACACAATGTGCATTTACAGTCTAACACACTAGGTTTGAACTTTCTAGCAACGTTTACAACAGCTGGACCTTGTAGCACAACTGACATCAGTGTAATGAAGCATCTGTGGCTTTGCGGATTTGTGGGGAGAGACGAGAAAGGGGCCAATAAAAGGAAAAGAAGAACATTCCTTTAACACAGTATTACAGCTATGTTTTAAATATGAAGATATCTCAGAAAGTTATAAATATTTATCTGAACTGCAAGGGAATAAAACACAGTTCCAGGGTACCCATTTCAGGAAGGGCTATCAGCCAATCCCATAGGTTGCAGCATTTTCAACAGCAACTTTGCAAGTAAAATTAGCTCATAAGATGCCTGGAAGGGGACAGTATCCAGCAATTGAGAGAATTACCCTTTGCTGGAACTATTCATGTATTTGAATAAGATTATTTTTTTTGGGGGGGGGGGGGAAGGGGAATAAAAAAGGATTAAACACCAGAGATTTGGCTAGACTCTTAAATGATGTGGACTGCCCCATATTTGGAAGTGGTCCCAGGGACATTTAAACATAGGAGGAACTCTAACATAAATGACACTGATCAGGAGACATTTTGTCCCAAACTGCCTATGCTGTGGATGAACCGTAATGACTCAATAATATATTATGTTAAAGTTATACATGGGATAACTGATCCAATTCCTATTAATAAAGCCAACTTCTGGAAGGCACCAGATAAGGCAAAGTTGACTTTACCCTTATGAAGGAACCAGAAGGGGTACAAGCTACTCCAGCTTGTAGGATATGCTTCTAAACAACTTCCTGCTTTGTTAAAATATATAACGTACATTGGGAAATCTTGCTTGCTTGATATATAATTATTTTCAATTATATGTGAAAAGTGTTCTAGAAAGACTCTGATCCTGTCAATCTTAGTGAGAATGTGGTTTCACTGGGTATTCCCTTTTCAAAAGGACATCTCAGTCATCTATTCAGCTTATAAGAACCCCATTTTAAAAACCTTCTTTTAAATCACCTACAAAATCACTCATTACTTCAGCCAGATTCCTGACTTGTAAGGTTATAACAGTGCTTCTCAAATATTTTCTGTCATGCCCCCCAAGGAAGAAGAAAACATTTCGCGCCCCCCGCGCGACTGTAAAAAAATTTTTTCTGTACAGAGGACCGATTTCTGGGTCTAAAAGTCACACGGGCGGGTTTGGCCAATCAGGATAGAGCATCATGTCTATCCAATCGGGTCCTTTGCATGTGTCACGTGCATTGGCGGTCATGTCCTCCGCGTCGGGCTGCCGCTTGCGAGTGAGTCGGATGATGCGATCTAGAAATCCAATATGACAGTATTTGCCAAGGTCAAACGAGCCCCCCTTTACGGAGCCTCGCGCCCCCCCTGGGGGGCGCGCCCAACTATTTGAGAAGCACTGGGTTATAATGACAGGTGGTTCATGCTATTTCTGGTCCACATCAATTTCACCTGGGTTCATTCAAGAATTAATTGCATTCCATTTCCTTATATATCTGTGATTGTTTTAAAGAAACAAAAATACATGACAATTTATCTTACTGTTTAACATTTCTTTCCAAGATTTAGCAATCTTTCCAAAAAAGTTTTTTTTTTGCACATTTTGCTTTAAAAATCTATGTTTTGTATGAGACTCAAAAGACAAATATATGTACCTCTGATTCTTAACCTGAGTTTTTCAACTAAGTTTTTCTCCAAAGTTTCATACATACAAAGACAAACAACAAATATTAGCACATAAACAGGAACACCTGTGTCTAGTATGTTTTGCTCCAGTAAGATATCTATATATTTCCTGATCCATTAGACATTGTGCATCTGGATACAATTGATCCCAATCTAGGGTCACAAACCACAGTGAATTGGATGCCCTCCATTATTCTGACAAGTCATCAGCATCTTAGCTTAGGTTTCTTTGCCTATTCTTCTTAGGATGAGCGAGCTTTACTTATTTATTTGATCAATGACTAACAACATAAAATAATAAAAAGGGAAATAAAGTCAACAATTACAATCAGGATCAATGGGGAGAAATGAGCGCAATTATATATTGGCAACTATAATATAAATCAAATATGGTATACTCTGAACACCCCTATTACAATAATAACATGTTTATTTGCCCAACACTAATAAATCTAAGGATGAGATAATTTTCTTGGAATTACAGTATAAAAAAGACCACACGCAGATCATTCAGGCCTTCTCTGAATGAATATAGTAGTCCATTTTCTCAGACACTCTTATCTTAGTTTCCATCTGTGCATAATTTAATGAAGTGTGGGCTGCTTCTCCAACCCTGTAGCCTAATTAGGCATGAAAATGTCATGTCAGTGTTTGAGTTATGTACAAAGTCAATACCATGTTGGTTCATAAGCAAAGGATTAAATTATCACTGTCAGTTGTATAAGAATGATAAAGTTAGTGTAGTGATCTCAACAGTCTCCATTTTGTAATTCATCAGAAAAAAAATAAGCTCTTTTTGTTCAGGTTATTATTCCTAGATATTTTCCATAATATGCAAAGGATTTAAATCAAGAGAGGATGGATGGGAAACATGCAGCCTACAATATATTTCTGAACTTTGACTATGGGAAGTCCTATCCAGCATGGTCATTATTATGGGGTGCAGGTCAACTCGAGGTGGAGAATATACTTCCTACTTCCCATTTTCTTCACAATTTTCCTGTGAGATGACTTGAATTGAGAGAGAATAAGTCACTTTCATATAGAAGGGAGGCCTTGTCTTTTGGTTTCTAGGCTACTATTTTAATCAGTATACCAAATTGATTTCTAGATCAATTACAAGTCACTAAGACATTGCTGGCTCTTAGTGACCAAATAGATTTTCTTCATGATGACCTATCCCTAACCTAGTCTTTTAGTTCTTCCAACAGTGCTTCCATCACCATGTCACCGAGTCCATCCACCTTGCTGATAGTTGTCCTTCTCTTTCCTTTCACCTTTCCCAGCATTACAGTATTATCCAGAGAGCTAGGTCT